TGCATTTATGTGAACAGAGGATCACAGACATAATGAATGCCTTAGCTAAATAACACAGGGTGGCTACTGTGGGTGCATAATCATTGTAAAAAGTGCCTAATCATAAAAACATGCAATACTAGGAAATTCTTGGAGACATGAACTTTATAGGCACTATAATTTACATTAAAAAAATTACATTACATTTATTGAGAGTTTATCAAAAAAAAAGTAATTATATTCATAATTACAATGTATTAAAAAGCCTTTCTGGACTGCCCAAGTACTATCAAAGCCCCTGTATTGTAATGCGGCCATCACTTGGATAGGTGCTTGGTGGGACTTCTTGATGTATTTAGGCTTACATGTTTTGTAATGAATATCGCTTCTTCAGGAGCTGTGTTACATGTTTCTAAATGGGCAAAGAATACAATCATTACGCAAATACATACATAAACATTATGCATAACATTGTTAGATGACGAAAGTGAAAAATATTGCTAGATTGTAAGCTCGAAAGAGCAGGGCCCTCGAACCCCTTGTGTAGTTTTGTTACTGTATTGTCTCATGTACTGTCCCTCACTATAATGTACAGCGCTGAGCAAACCTTTTGGCGCTATATAAATACTGGATAATAATTATAATAATAATATTGCCGAGGCAACAATGTATACACATACAAAAACCATTAAGTACTTTTGCATAATCAGGTAATGTTGATGAGTGCATTCTGGCATAGGCTGAGTGCCAACAATGGATGCGGTGACCCAAATAAAGAAGGGATCAGGAGCTCTGAGAACACAAGTAATATATGCATTAGTCCACATGCAGGTTATACAGTACCTAACCAGTAATACTGGTCCATTATGCACTTCCATATCTAGCACTAAATTTTACACTGACTGTAATATAGAAGGCATGTATATTTAATGACCTTTTAATGCGGGGCGTATTACACAGGTAAACCCATCATGAAGTTGTGACAAAGCTAAAAGATCGCATCTATTATTCAGCCAACGGCAAAATGGTGACCCCAGTGAGTAGACACCTTTACCTGTATCACAGATTTGATATCACATAGGTTTCATTCATTGTGTTGGAAGTCATTCCAAAAAGAGACCTTTTGGGCTGAATGTTTAAATGCAGTACGATCACCAGAGTTCAATGAAATGTTGTCCAACAAACTATTGCTGTAGAATTAGACATTTAATAATATACAAATCAGGGAACCACCAATGTGATGTTTTTACAACCATTTATTTCCAATAATACAGTTTACAAGATAGTGTGTCTAAATGGTTTAATAAATTTAGAGTAACGAGTTTCCCTTTATTCAAGGATTACAATAAAATTTTATTTTTTTAATATGAATTGTAGTGCCTATATAATCAATGTCATAGAGATACAATTGAAAACATGTTAACAGACTTCATAAGTACCATGCTAACAAAAACTCAATAAATACAGTCAGTGCCTTGTCTAAAGAGACACAGTAATATACTGAGTGTAGGGCTACATGTACACTGGAACTGCTGTAGATGTTACAGAGGAGCTACAGTCTGATAAGCCAAATTATAATAACAACATAATTAACGTGGCTGTAAATGACATCATCCACATAGGATATTGCTGCACATTTCCATTCTCAATTTACTTACCAAATCATTTGTTGTTTACATTCTCCTTGGATTCTGGCTTGGACCATAGTAGCTGTATGCAGCTGAAGACAGCTTGCATTCTTTTCTGGGTTTCCATGCAGCTGGCTACCCAGCATGCACCTCCCGGTCTCGTGCCTGCGCAGTAGTGACACTGCAAGGTGCACTTTGAGAAGCCTTAGATGCCCAAAAATTCCTGGGATCGATGACATAGATATCCCAGGAGTCAACGGGGCAGACTGATGATTTAGTCACTTAGGCGGTCAAGGTCAAGTCCAGGGGAAACACTTCTTTCTGACAATATTGCAAAGTATTACTATCCAAAGTTAGCCACACTATCAGTGGGCATTACAATAAGTCTAAGTTAAAATAATGAGTGAAACTCCACTTTAACTCTACGGGCAGCAGAAAAACATTTGGACATTTATTTCATTGGCCAGAGTACTTGCCAATTAAATGAATAAATGCCCAAGGCTAAACGCAGTTAGCACTTAAGTGCATTTACACGTGTTTTTGCTGCGTTTGGCTTTTTTGGCCAAAACGTTCCTCTCCTGAATGTGATTCTTCTGCATTCAGGAGAGGGGCATTTAACTGCCCCTAAACTCAAGCCTATGTGTACATGGACACATAGGCTTTTACTGAGTTGAGTTCTTTGTAAAAACAAAACGCCAAAAGCACCTAAACTCACGTTTAGGAGCAGCAGTGTACATGAGGCCTAAGGAAGGTAAGTATATGCAACTGTATGGGAGGAATTACAGTGCATTTGTTGCTTTGCTCTGTATGGGCAAAGCACAGGTTCATTTAAAAAATAATAGATGGAAAAAATTGCATGCAACAAACTAAGTTCCAAAGTATTTTTACGGCACAGGTGACCAAATGGTTTGGTCCAGCACAATTGGCATATAGGTTGGTGCAGAAGACTGCACGCTACAATAATGTCTGTACAAACTGCAGTACTGACTTTTTTTTGTTTTATACTCCCCCCCGCCCCCCCCAATTCCAAATAATTGCTAAACACAGACCCATTAGCCCAGGAATCAAGTATACAGACATAATTTGTTATTGTGTCTTAAATCTGGAGTGTGTCTACCATTTGCACGCTACATCCCAGCATCAGGAGAGCATTCATTGCACACTGGGAGTGGAAACAGAAGCAGGAAGGTACTGGCTGCTGCTCCAGGGATGTATATCAGTACTAATAATGGCAGTGGCCACCTACTAATAGTACTGAAGTAAACATAAAATGCGACGGGAGTAACAGCCAAATAACTAACAATGAGAGACCTGAGCAGCAACAATCAGTGACTTGAGCAGCCTCAGTAGTGACTTCCTCAGCAGCTCAGGAACCTTAGTACATGGCAGGGGCAGACTGACAACTCATGGGGCCCCTAGGCAATAGGGGATCATGGGGCCCCTGTGTCCTTGCCCAAACTCAAAAAAGCCTATGAAAAAGGTACCAGGGGTATCTCATGGGGCCCCCTACTGACCACGGGCCCTCGGGCAGTGCCCGAGTTTCCAAATGGTCAGTCTGCCCCTGGACCATGGCCTATATGACCTAGCATGCACTCTACCCCCAATGATGCAGATTCCCTCTCCAGTGAGGAAGAAATGGGGTAATAGCAGAAGTTCCACTGCTGAACCAAGAAAATGGGATTGATTTACTAAATGTAAATAGTCTGTGCACTGCAAGTGTGCTGCAAGTACAGTTGCACTAGATCTGAGTGGAAGCTCTGAAACAAGGGAAAGTTCTGCTGATTTCTATCAACCAATCATGTGCAAGCAAAAGTGCTGTTTTTTTTTTCCTTGTATGTTTCCTTCAGATCTTGAGCAACTGCACTTGCAGGAAACTGCCTGAGCAATCGCAAGACTGGCTTCACAGAACTGCAAATCTTTTGTCAGGTAAAACAGTAAACATATTTATATAGTATTTAATCTATATACTTAACTGTATGCCCAGAGTATTGCCATAAATTCTACTAGTTATATAATAGTTTTGTTAAATCTTGATATCATCTGTTACACTTTTGTTTAACTTTTCTGCATATTTGTGATTTCCACAGACTGCATGTAATGGTGATATAACACCCAGTTGTATCAGCAATTCAAGTATACAGTCTGTTGTAGTGATGAGAGCTAAGCCTTTGCTTAATCCTTTGCAATGCATAGGGAATATGTGCTAACTGCCATTAAAATCACAGTTTGATGGGTAATAAGAGCTAAGCCAAAGCTGTCTTTGGACTTCCTTTTTGCTTCAGTAAATTTACTTCATTTTTCAATTTTCTCCTGAAAAAATGCATCAAATTATTTCTAAATGTGCATGTCCTCAAAAGACAGGATAAGCCATCAGTATAGAGTTCTGCCAATTTCCTCTTTACCTCAATCTTCTGACCACTGAATAACTGCCAGCATTATTCTGGGTCCCTGATCATAATGCTAAAATGAGTTACTGGATGGACACAAATATGTGTCCAAGGCACAGAATGATAAGTGTTAGTTTGCAATGCAACAAATTAAAAAGTATTTGATTACTGTCAGCTGAGGTGAGCTGTAAACTAGTTTGCTCCTAACATCCAGAATCACAAAATAGACTGTATATTGTTACATGGTTATCTATAAAAATATATCTATGTATTGATTGGCGTATACACCACTTTTAGAACACTCCTCTACAAATTATTTGTACTTCACTCCTTCTGACTTCAACGTTTTACTCTTTCTTAAAACTTTAATAAAAACCTATTGAACATAAAAATATATCTATGTATAATAAAACATACAATAGTTAACAGAATGAGAAATGAGCACACTTTGGCTTCTGTTTTAGTTGACAAGTTAATCCTAAATTGATGCAAAATGCTTTAGTGGCAGATATTGCACACATGCAACAATCATTCCTGGCTGAGTGCAGGGAATAGATTTAACCACTTGCCCTCCAGAGGATTTTTACCCCCCTTCCTGACCACGCCATTTTTTGCATTACGGTGCTACTTTATTTTAACCACAAGCCTACAGGGCACTTATACCCCCTTCCTGCCCAGGCCAATTTCCAGCTTTCAGAGCTGTCACACTTTGAATGACAATTGCGCGGTCATGCAACAATGTACCCATATGAAATTTTTATCATTTTTTTGTGACAGAGATTTATTTTGGTGGTATTTAATCAACTCTGGGATTTTTATTTTTCCTTAAACAAACCAAAAATCACAGAAAATTTTGAATAAAAAAAAAAACGTTTTTTCTTAGTTTTTGGTATAAAATTTTGTAAATAAGTGATTTTTCTCCTTCACTGACGTACGCTAATGAGGCTGCAGTGATGGACAGTGATAGGCTGCACTGATGGACACTGATAGGTGGCACTGGTGGCCACTGATACGGAGGCACTGGTAGGTGGCACTGATGGGCATTGACAGGCATCACTAATGGGCACTGAAAGGCAGCACTGATACTGATATGGCACTGATAGGCGGCACTGACTGCTACTGATAGGCGGCACTGACTGGCACATATAGGTGGCACTGACGGGCACTGATAGGCGGCACTGATGCGCACTGATAGGTGGCACTGACTGGCACTGATAGGCAGCACTGACTGGTACTGATATGTGGCACTGATTGGCAGCACTGATAGGTGGTACTGATTGGCATTGATAGGTGGTACTGACTGCCACTGATGGGTTACACTGAAAGGCAGCTCAGATGGGCACTGATATGTGGCATTGATGTGCACTGGTATGCACTGATATGTGGCATTGACGTGGCACTGATGAGCACTGACAGACATTGACAGGTGGCACTGCTGGGGCTACACTGATCATCAGTGCCCTGATGATCAGTGTACATGTCCCCTTCGTGGAATGCCAATTACCGGCTCTCCTCTCCTATCGAGTTGTCAGCATGACAGCTCGAGAGGAGAGAAATGCTGATAACCGGCATTTCCCTGTTTACATGTGGTCAGCTGTGATTGGACACAGCTGATCACATGACCAAGCCGACATCTTCGTCTCTTTCCATGGATCGGTGATCTGCTGTGTCCGAGAGACACAGCGCACTGCCGATCATTGCACTGCGCACTCCCTGAGCCACGCATGAGCGTCATATGAACGTCCTCCCAGAACGAGAGAACCACCTTGCGCCCGTCATTTTACTATATGGTGGGCAGGAGGTGCTTAACTAACAATTGCAACGCTGCACCCAAATGCAATGTATGTCCTTTTTTTTTACCACAAATTGAGCTTTCTTTTGGTGGTATTTGATCGCCTGTGTGGTTTTTTATTTTTTGCGCTATAAAAAAAGGCCAAAATTTTGAGAAAAAAAATGATTTTTTTTTTACTTTTTGCTATTTGGCATGTAAAATGTAAAAAATCAAATTCGTCATAAATTTAGGCCAAAATATGTTATGCTACATGTCTTTGCTGAAAAAAAAATCCCAATATGTGTAAATTAATTGGTTTATGTGAAAGTTATAGCGTTTACAAGTGGCGGTATATATACTGAGATTTTAATTTTTTTTTTAAATTTTTACTAGTAATGGCGGTGATCAGCAACTTATAGCGGGACTGCGGTGGGCAGTCTGACACTGATTTGGTGTCACTGACATCCACAGTGACACCGATACAGTGATCAGTGCTAATAAAAAGCACTGACACTGGGCAGGAAGGGGTTAACATCTGGGGCGATTAAAGGGTTAACTGTGTGCTGGGTGTGTTTTACTATGGGGCTGTGTCTGTGTACTTCACTATAAGCACACTGCTTTGCATGGCTGTGCACGAGCTGACATGGAGGGGAACTGTTTTGTTTACTAAGAGTTCTCCCCCGCGCTGGATATCCTCTGCAATCATCGGGCGCGTAATCACTGGCCGGGACCCGGTGATTGACAGCTGCAGCCACAAACGGTGGTATGGGTAGGGCGCATCAAGTACGCCCCCTACCCAGAAGTGCAAAATCACATATTTATACGTGATTGTGCACACTCGTGCCACCCTATAGCAGTATATCTGCTATAAGGCGGATGGGAAGCAGTTAAAGTGAAAGGCTCAAGATTTTTTACCTTTATGCATCAAATGCAAAAAAGTGTGACAAAAAAAAACTTTTGTGTGCCACAGCCCCCTCAGTCCCCCCCTAATAGTTACTTGAGCCCCACCGCGATCCAGTGATGTGCACGAGAGCCTTGGCTCTCCGGCGACTCGCCTTCCTCATTGGCTGAGATAGCAGTGGCAGCCATTGGCTCCCACTGCTGTCAATCATAGCCAGGGAGCCAATGAGGAGAGAGAGAGGGTGAGGCTAAGCCGTAACTCTGTGTGTAAATGGACATGCAGAACAGTGGCTCAGAGGCAAGCCTGCTTGGATGCCTTCATAGCAAGGTGGGGGCACTTGGAAGGAGGGAGCGGCCTGGAGTGCCAGTGGGGGACCCAAGAAGAAGATGATCAGGGCTGCTCTGTGCAAAACCACTACACAGAGCAGGTAAATATGACATGTTTGTTATTTTTTTTCTTGACTTTAATATCATTTTTAAGCATAAAGATTTAAGCAAACTGGAGATTATGGGAAGCATTGGAGAAAAAGGGATAGTAAGGGCCTGTATTTAAAGGCTTTGGTCTGTATTGATGATCTTGTTCCTGGCATCAGAAGACAATTCTTTGGTCATTCAAAGATAATTAAAATGGTGTATTTGACCTCCTTCTGACCTGTATTTGACCAGATTCAAGTTGTTTCATTCCTTGTATGAACAGTGAAGCTGTTCTGATGTGAACAAAAGGCCATAAACACAGATTCTATTAATAGGAACCATGTATAGGGCTGCAGTCTGTAAAAAATGTAAAAATGTAAAAAAAAAATCTCCTGGGTGGCTGAAAAAGTATTAATCTAAGCACATGCTCTCCTTCCATGAAAGAATACAGTTGTGACCAAAATTATTCAACCCCCACTGAAATTGAGTGTTTTGGCCAGTTTGACATTGCTTTTGATCATTCAGTCATCTTGCTTACATTTACATTAAAGAGGCACTTGTAGGTCAGACAAATATAACATAACAGTTATAATGAAATAACCACAAATGTCTTTTCTGTGCTCACAGCATTATCAGTTTTATTCAACCCCCAAGTGACATTCAATCTTAGTACTTAGTACAGCATCCTTTTACAGTTATAACAGCTTTCAAACGTGAAGCATAGCTTGACACAAGTGTCTTGCAGCGATCTACGTGGTATCTTCGCCCATTCTTCATGGGCAAAGGCCTCCAGTTCAGTCACATTCTTAGGCTTGCGCACTGCAACTGCTTTCTTTAAGTCCCACCAGAGGTTCTCAATCGGATTTAAGTCTGGGTACAGAAGTTTCCAGCCCAGAACAATAAGACGCACACTGACAACGCGATGGCCACTCCAAAATGTTCCCCCTTTCCTCTGCAACCATGCTCTAGTGGACTTGGAGGTATGCTTGGGATCATTGTCCTGTTGAAAGGTCCAACGTCTCCCAAGCCTCAGGTGTGTGACGGACTGCATCACGTTTCCATCCAATATCTCCTGGTACTGAAGAGAATTCATGGTACCTTGCACACGCTGAAGCTTCCCTGTACCTGCAGAAGCAAAACAGCCCCAAAGCATGATTGACCCTCCACCATGCTTCACAGTAGGCAAGGTGCTTTCTTTTCATCATAGGCCTTGTTCTTCCTCCTCCAAACATAGCGTTGATCCATGGGCCCAAACAGTTCTAATTTTGTTTCATCAGTCCACAGAACACTATCCCACAACTTTTGTGGTTTGTCCACATGGCTTTTGGCATACTGCAGTCGACTCTTCTTATTCTTTGGAGACAGCAAGGGGGTACGCCTGGGAGTTCTGGCACGGAGGCCTTCATTACGCAGTGTGCGTCTTATTGTCTGGGCTGAAACTTCTGTACCCACATCTGACAAATCTGATTTCTCAGTTCCTCAGCAGTCACACGGGGACTTCTCTCCACTCTACGCTTCAGGTAGCGCACAGCAGTCGAAGTCAGCATCTTCTTTCTGCCACGACCAGGTAGCGTTTCAACAGTGCCCTATTGCCTTGAATTTGCGAATGATGCTTCCTAAGGTGTCTCTTGGTATGTTTAACATCTTTGCAATCTTCTTATAGCCATTGCCCTCCTGTGAAGAGAAATCACCTCTTCTCTTGTCTTCCTGGACCATTCTCTTGCCTTCACCATGTTTGTAACCACACCAGTCAAAATGTCTAGAAGGAGCTGAGTATAACACAGTCATTTTAAAGCTGCCTAATTGGTGCTTATTATGCTTGATTGCTGCTCGGTGACATCCACAGGTGTTTTTCAATACCTGATGGAAAGCACCTGTATGAACCTCTGTTCTTCAGAGTGGTAGTCTTTAAGGGGTTGAATAATTGTGGCAATGAAGAAACCACATAAGAACCATTTACTACTGTATTACATAAACAATTGATGTCATTTTAGTTGCATTTGGGTAGTTACAACGTCCTTGTAGGATTTGATTCTGAATACAATTCCAAATGTACACTATAGTCCCTAAACCCCTTTACAGCATTGGGGGTTGAATAATTTTGGTCACAACTGTAGATGCAGTTGGTAAACTCCAATTTTCCACTAAACCAACTTACTTAACAGACAAGCCAAAGACAAGCCATTAAAATGTGAACTCATTAGGGACACTTGGATTAAAGACTAGGTTCACCTATAAGGAATAAATAATAAATGCACATATGTTTGCAGGAAAAAAATTGTAAATGTATTGTTTATATCCACACGAGCCTGCAAAGCATGGCACCCCGTGATCAGCAGATCGCAGGTGCAGTGTCAGCTTCCTGAACATGCTCCGTCCATACAGGCTTTCAGTTAGAAATCTGGAGAAAGTATGAATTGGCCAAGAGTATGTGTATCAGTGCAGTCATAGTCTGTTTTGGTGTAAAAGCTGTGGAAGATTGGACTTGTAGTTCATTCATTCACAGAAACGGGGCTTCGAACAGCCATTCCAATTCTAAATGTGACAGTTGCTGCAAGGGAAAAGAACCATAGCCTATGGGGGGGGGGGGGGGGGGGGGGTAAGGTGGGGTTGCTGGAACATGTTACAACCTAAATATGGGTAAAATGTGTAACGTGTTCTAGAAGATGAACTTATCCCTTAAATCGAGTCAAATACTCCCTGTTCATGAAATTGGTTTAGTTTTTTTTTTATGTTCTCTATGTACACTTGTGGCATTATGGTATTACCCTATAAAAGCAGTTGAAGAAAGACACGGAGAGGATTGTTTCTTTTGAATGGTTTATTGACTTGAATATAATGTGGATGACTAGAGGTAATAAATTACCTTAGGAAAAAATAAGAGTAATAATCTGCAGGTTAGAGGTAAGTTGAAGAAAGTCAGATATAGCTGTACTGCATAGAATCAGAATGCTTTGAATTGAACAGATCTAGAATAAAGCTGAAGTTTGCTATAAATAAATGGCCTAACAAAAAGCTTTCTGAGATGACTTTATATGAAGTCCATTGCTAATTTGAACAAAAGTCCAATACAAAAAAAATCACTCTTCTCTGAGCAGAATTTTTCACTTTATACATAAACTGTTGAGATTTTAAAGCTTCCTAAACTATTTTAACACAAATGTAGTACTTATCATTGGTACATATTAAGAGGTACATACACATCTTAATCTGAATACGGCAAATTCGCTTTTTGTCCTCCAAGCATGGGACAATTTTACCAAAAAAGACACAAAATTCTAAAAAATGAATTGGTAGAGGAAATGCTTTCCAGTAGCTTTCCAAAATAGACTTAATTCTACCCCCCCCCCCAAAAAAAAAAAACAAAACAAAAAACAATGGAATTAGTTTGTAGGATTACAAAGGCACGGATCTCAGAAAATTAGATTTTTGAACAAATGGAACTGGGGGCGGGGCTAAAAGAAAAAAAGATTGTGGATCACAAAAAAATCACTTAAATAAATAATGAATAAACTGACATTTTTTAAGCTGA